CTTCAACTTCATCCTCTCCTAGGAACATGCGCCGCTCTGCTGCCCCACAGGGCAGCAACTTGGATTGGCACATATATGAGTACGTGTGTGTGCACAGCATGGCATGACGTTCTCACGAGAAAATTGGAGGATTGTGGGCTTAACTCTGAGACAGTCAGGTGTGTGAGAAACTGGCTGCAGGATAGGACCCAGGGAGTTGTAGTGAACGGATCAGTGTCATCCTGGCGAGAAGTGGGCAGCGGTGTCCCGCAGGGGTCGGTGCTTGGTCCAGTACTTTTCAACATCTTTATTAACAATTTGGATGTGGGGTGAAGAGCTCACTGCCCAAGTTCAGGGACGACACCAAGTTATGGTGAAGCGTGGTCACACTTGAAGATAGGCTACAGTTACAGGCGGACCTGGACAGGCTGGCAAGTTGGACGGATCGGAATCTGATGAAGTTGAACTTTGAGAAATGTAAAGTGCTGCACCTCGGGACGAGCAATCCTCAACACATCTACAGGCTTGGTGGCGCCAAACTGATGAGTGCCATGAATGAAAGGGACCTGGGGGTAACAATAGACCACAGTATGAATATAAGCTGGCAGTGCAATGCTGTAGCCAGCAAGGCAAATAATACTCTGGCATGCATCAATCAGTGCACCTGCAGCAAAACCAGGGAGGTGATTCTTCTGCTCTACTCAGCACTGGTGAGACCGCAGCTGGAGTGCTGCGTCCAGGTTTGGGCACCGCACTTCAACAAGGATGAGGACAAGTTTGACACAGTCCAAAGAAGAGCCACCCGTATGATCAGAGTCTTAAAAGGCAAGTCATACAAGGAAAGGCTGAGGGATCTGGGACTCTTCAGCCTGAGGAAAAGGAGGCTGAGAGGGGACTTAGTAGCAGGTTACTGCTATACAAGGGGAGTACATCAAGGGCTTGGTGAGCAACTGTTCACCAGGGCACCCGAGGGGAAAACCAGGAGTAATGGCCACAAACTCCTGGAAGATCGATTCAGGCTCAGCATTATGAAACACTTCTTCACAGTCAGGGTGTCCAGACTGGAATAAGCTCCCTTCAGAGGTGGTGCAATCATCTACCCTGCAAATCTTCAAGAGGAGGCTGGATGGTCACCTTGGTGAGGTCACCTGACCCCCAGCTATCGTTCCTGCTTGGTGCAGGGGGCTGGACCCAGTGATCTCTGAGGTCCCTTCCAGCCTTACAATCTACAAAAACCAGGAGGCATGTGAAGAAATGGAAGCTGACTGGGCTCACGGAGAAACCTCAGGAGCAGCAACCGCATGGTCTGGGCCCACAAGAGTAGCTTGGACTGGTGGGAGTGAATCGTGCTGACCACTTGGAACAATCAGCAGTGGCTGGAGATGTTTCAAATGACCAGGGAGATGTTTTATCATATTGTCTCGATGCTGGCACCACAAATTGAGAGGCAGGACACTAACATGCATCAGGCCATCCTGCTGGACAAGAGAGTGGTCATGGCCATCATGAAACTGGCCACCCCTTCCAGCCACTGCTCCATGGCGAACCAGTTTGGCATGGGTCCCTGCATGGCCAGGGTGACGATTCACAAGGTATGCCAGCTGCTGCAGGACATTGCTGCAAACAACTTTATTTGCCCCGGGAATCCTCAGGGAGTCATAGATGGCTTCAATGCCATGGGGGTCCCTAACTGTGTGGGGGCTTTAGACAGCACTCGCATCCCAGTGCAGTCCCCTTCGGGGAGCGGGAGGTCTGTCACAAACAGAAAGAGATTTGCCTCCGTGATCCTGCAAGCCGTGGTGGACTACCGGGGCTGCTTCACAAACATTTTTACCAGGTGGGCTGGCAGTGCGCACGACGCAAGTGTGCTCAGAAACTCCCTGCTCCCTGGCTTCATGGAGAAAGGACAGTATGCGCCCGGAGTCCGCGAGACGGTGACCTGCGGTGTTTGTAGCCATTCCCCTGCTTATAACAGCGGACGCTGCCTTCCCCCGCAAAGCCCTGGCTCATGGACCTTATGGAGGGCGTGTTATGGACCCGCAGAAGCTGCTTTACAACACACATCTGAGCAGTTGCAGGATGGCTGTTGAATGTGCCTTTGGCCGATGGAAAGGACGATGCAGGGCATTTAACTGGAGTGAGAAAATATCGCGGCATTTGCAGGGGCAGCCTGCACCCTGCACCAGGTCTGCGGGACCTGCGGAGAGGTTTTCAGCGAGCCGTGGGCTGAAGAAGCGCAGCAGGCAGCGGCCAGACAGAAACGTGGCTGAGGACCTATCCGCAAGGAGAAGCTGGCGGGGCGGCCCTTGTGCGGGGTCGTCTGGCAGCACCTATTATGGGTATGAACGCTGACAACAACTAGCAGTGGTTGCTCTTTTGATTACGATAAATCCTTTCACTATTTACTACATAAACATCTGTGTGTGTCTGCAGGGGTGTGCAGGGGAAAGTAGTGGACGGGGGGGAGGATAAGCAGGACACGGGGGGAGGTGGGCTGGGGTAAGGGCTTTTGCTTTGAGGCTGGCATGGGATTGGGGCGGGGGGGGGGGGGGGCTC